TTATTATTATTATTATTATTATTTTTATAACTTTCTGGAGAATTTTGGAAATGAAATTTTTACAAAAAAGGAAAAAGGAAAAAAAACTAATTAAGAAATTTTAATAATACCTGTCTTAATAATGATTTATTTTTTTTCTTTTGTAGTTTTAAAATTAATTTTTTTTTTTTTATTTGAAAAAACTGGAAAAAAAATTAGAAAACTGGAGACGATGGAAAAAAAAAAATTGTTCGGTTATGTGAAATATCCAGCACCGTATAAAATTTTAATTTTTTTTTTTTTTGTTAAATTTTTATAAATTGAAACGTGAAACTTTTCTTTTTTTTCTTCTCTTCAAAAAATATGACTTTAGACAAGATGAAACCTTTTGAAAAAAAAAAAAAATTAACATTTCAAAAAAACTGGAGAATAAAAAAAAAATTTTTTTTTTTTTTATGCTTTTTGTATTTTTCCAGTTAGAAAAAAAAAAAGATCAATAACGGAAAAAAAGAGTTAATGTATAATAAAAAACTGCCAAATTTTCCGACAGCTTTTCCTTTTTTTTTTTTGATAAATTTTAATAGTTTACAAAAGTTTTAAAAAAAATCCTCCGGCATAAAAAAAAACGTTCCGCCATTTCCGCCATTTTTATAAAATTTAATTCCTTTTTTTTTTTTTTTGGTACGACTGGATAATTTTTTATTTTTCGTCGAGAAAACAAAAAAAAAAAAAGAAAATAACGTTTCCGTTAATTTATTATTATTATTATTATTATTAATATTTTATATTTTTTTTTTTTTTTTTTGAGGGGGGATGGGTTTTTCGTTCATAATTTTCCAGTTCCAGAGAATTCATGGATTCGTATTAATCAATCATATTATAAAACGTGACAATAACTTTTTCCGAAAATAAACATAATCAAAAAAAAATTAATTTATCATTTATTAATTTTGACACGTCATTAACCCTTTAGAACGTTCCAGATTTTATTCCAAAAATCCATCCACATTCCAAATTAAAATTTTTTTTTTTTTTTTCCCTCCATTTCACGAGTTTTTATCGATTGTGTTTCATCATCATCATCATCATCATCGGGTTACCTTCCCTACCCACTTCCCATTTCCCACCTCCTGGATTTCTGTTGTCGTTGTCAACATTGTTTCACGTTTTATGTTGTATATTAATCAATTTTGTTATTATTATTATTATTATTTCTATCATCATTAATCTTAAATCAACGTCCGACATTGTTACATTTTTTAAATAAAAATTTTACTAATGTAAAACAAATTTGAAAAAAAAATTTGTTTGTTTTAACAAAATAAAGAAAAGTTTTAAATCAATAAAAAAATAAATTTTTCTAGAATGTCAAAAATTGAGGGAAAAAGTTTTAAGAAAAGTGAAAAGTTTGGTAGAGGGAGGACAGGAAACGGGAAAAAGAAAACAAAGGAAAAAAAAAAAAACTACACGATAGGGAATGAATAGTGAAATGATGACGTAAAAGTGAATATTATTTTACCTGGAGAATGAAAATTTTCCAGGCCGGTTTAAATGTTTGCCTATATCAAATAAAGAACAAAAAACTCTCTCTCTTACTAATAATAATAATAATAGATTTCTTTTTTGTTGCTTTTTTTTCAAAGAAAAACTTTTTTTGATTTTCCAGCTTCTGCTGGAGAATGAAAACCCGTTTAACATCCCTGGAATTATCAATTCGAAGAGAACTCCTAAAATTCACCCTTTAAACTATATTCATTTCATGTAAATTTTTAATATTTATACGAGTATCATCATCATTATCATCATCATTATTATTATTATTAATGTCGTTTCAAAATGTAAATTTAAACCGTTAAAAAAAAAAAGAAAAAGAAAATTTTTTTGTTTTCTAATTTCAGAACTGTGCGAAGCCGCAATTAAAATTCAGGCATCGTTTAGAGGACATTTGGTAAGAAAAACAGCCAATCGGAAAGACGAAGAAGAATTAAGTAAAGAATTGGAAAAATTAGATGCCAAGGTTTGTCTTCCCTTAATCAATTGACCGATGAGCCTTATTAAATTAAATCTAATCGACCAATCATAATTTTTTTTTTATCCGTTTTGAAAATTATTATTACTTATCGTACGTTTAAATGATTTTTTTTTAAATGGAAAAAAATTTTTTTTATTTAAAAAAAAAAATTGACAGTTTGACAATTTTATCTAACAAGGTTTCTAAGGAAAAAAAAACGGAAATGACGTCACGTGGATATACATATCGCATTTGTTAAAGATGACAATATTAAAAAAAAAAAAAAAATTTTTTTTTTTTTGCATTGACGTAGTTGGTTGGTTGGTTGGTTGGTTGGTTGTTCGGTTGTTTGGTTGATTGCGTTTTTAGTCAATCGATGAAACCCAAATGGAAACGAAAGAAAAAAATTATTATTATTATAATTATTATCATTTTTTTTCCTTTTCTTTCTTTTTATTTTATTCTTCTTTATTTGTAATTATAATTACAAATTTAATGTTAATTTTTTTTTTTCCGTTTCTCTCTCCAACTAACGTACTATTATTATTATTATTATTATTATTATTATTATTATTATTTTTCGTAATAAAAATTCGAAATTAATAATTTTTTTTTTCCCACAAATTTTTTTTTTGAAAATGTTTTTTTAATCAATCGATCGATCGACAAAATTCCCCCCCCTCTCCGGAAAAAAAGAAAAAAATAATAAAAATATAAAATAAGAAAACAAACAAACAAACAAACGAGGGTTGTTAACGTATCCGATATTATTGATAAATTTGTATTCCGAATTGGTTTTTTTTTTTTTTTGAAAAATTGTTGTTTTTTTATGAAAAGTCATCATTTTTCATAAGACATTCCCCCCCCCCCCCGATATTAATTCATTAAATAAAATAAAATCAATCGTGATAATAATAATAATAATAATAATAATAATGTTGATAAAAAGTAACGCGCGTGTAAATAATGTATTTTTTTTTGTTTGTTACGTAATATTTAAATAATAAATTTTTTTTTAACGACAAAAGATAGGAATAAAAAAAAAAAAAATTATTACGATGGAAAATTCGTTTTTACGACGATACCAGATTGTTTTTTTTTTTTTTTTTAAACAAAATGGAAGCCGTTATTCGCACTCTAAAATTTTATTTAAATTTTCCTTTCTTTTTTATTTAAACGATAAAATCATCGCAAAAAAAATTTTTTATTGATTTTTCTTTTTTTAGTTACTTAACCTAATCACGTTAAACTTTAAAAAAAAGTTAAATAAATAAATAAGTTTTATTTTAATACTAATAATAATAATGATGGGTGAAAAAAGCGGTTACGACGAAATAATTTATAATGAAAACAAGTTTTTAGAAAATGACAAGTGAAGGAAATTTATTTTATAAATATTTTAAAAATGATTAAAAAGTTAATTCGCGAATGACAGATTAACATACACAATGTCAAAATGGCGTAAAACCTCATGAAAAACTAACGAGAGAGAGAGAGAGAGAAAAAAAAGAAAAACAAATTGAAAATGTAGTAGTTACTACAGGGGAAGGGGGGAGGAAGGAAGGGAGGGGAAAGAAATCGTGATTTTAAGAGCAAAAAGAAATTTTTTTCAATCCAGCACAGCATCGTAGAAAAACAAACAAACGTAAATAATTTTCCGTAATGTTAAATCAAAACTATTTCCGGTTTTAAAAAAAATTTTCGAATTCGTTTTCGTGTTTATTTCTTAACGGTTACGTAACTAAACTTCTTATAGGGAGAATATTTAAAAATCAATAAATATTGTTATGATCCCGTACTCAATATTCACATTTTCAACTTTTTATAAACAAAAGACTGGCGACGAACTCAAATTGTTCTTCTTTAGAAGCGAAGCTTCTAAAGACTATTTCTTTTATTTTATTTGCAAGTGTTTGCTCGTTCGAAACAATTGACAAACGAAAGACAAAAGTAATATAGGCAAGCTACACAGCTTGGCGTTGGTTCATTTGATTTTTAGTCTAGCTGTAATAAGTTCTTGTTTATTAATATTAGTTTTGTGATAGTTTTAAGTGCTTGTTCATTACTTACAAAAATAAAGAACGAACCGAATATAACAATATGTTGGTTACATGACACGAAGTTGTTTTTAATTAAACAAACATAAAAAAAAAAAGTTTAAAAAACGTGTAATTAGAAAATTGAATAAAAGAAATACGTTTAAAGAAAATTTATACAAGAGAAAAAGAAAATTTACGTTATTTTGTAATTTTTTTGTACGAAAAAAATAAATAAACGAACGGAATAAATAATTATCTACTTAAAACTAAAATTTATTGATAACGCGTTTTATCAATCGAGACAAAATTGATAAAATTCAAAAGGAATTCAACAAATTATTATTATTATTATTTTTTTTTTTCCGTATTGATTTTATATAAACTTTTATCAGCCGTGTCATTAGACTCCTTAAATTCTTTAATCAATATTTAAAAATTACCAAAACGTTAATAAATGTAAATCTTAGGAATTAATTAGAATGAAAGAGACAGAGAAGGGAAGGGGAGAGAGAAAGAGAGAGCGGGAGAGGGGAGAAAATACAAAGAGAGAGAGAGAGAGAATTTTTTTATTGTTTTTTCTTTTCCAAAACAAGGGGAAAGAAAAACTTTTAAAGGTTTTATTTAATTAACTGAATTTTTTTTTTGTTTTTTTTGTTTTGTTTTTTTTTTTTTTTTTAAATTTAAAGGCACCGGAAGAGGAAGAATTAGACATTGATCTTAATGATCCGGATTTACAAGTGGCAGCAACTAAAATCCAAGCTTCGTTTCGTGGTCACAGAGTACGAAAGGATAAACAATCAGGTTCGAATGAATGAAAATTCAACGAGACTTATGATGTTGACCGGAAATTAATTAAATTTAATTACAACTACTACAAAAATTATTATTATTATTGTTACTACTACCACTACTACTATGACGATTTGAAATTTTATCTTTTTTTTTCTATATGAAATAATAATATATTTAAAACTTGTAGATAATGTAAAAAAAAGAAAAGTAAAACAAAAAAAATTATTTTTTTTCTCTTCTCTTTAAAATTATTTAATAAATTATTATTATTAACAAAATAATTTCGAAATGATGTGGGGGGAGAAGGAGAAGGAGGAAGAAGGAAAGGTCAAAGGGTAAAATAAATAACACAGGGTTTTTTTTTTTTGGAAAATTTAAAAAAAGAAAAGAAATTATTATTATTATTTTTTTATAAATTTTAGTTTGCAAAAAAAATTTTCCTTTTTCCTACGAGGAAAATCCCTTCAAGTATAGTTTTATTATTTTTCTCCCACCCCCACCCACGCCCTTTTTTTTTTCATCATAAAAAATGTTTAAAAATGTAGGGAGGAAAAAAAAGGAAAAGAAGTGGGGGAAGGAAACGGAAATGCAAAAAAAAAGGGTTCGATCTTTTTCAAATAAAAATTTTAATAATCTACAGAGCTTTTTTTTTTATTTTTTTATGTATTAATAATTTAATTTCGTATCCGCCTCCTCGACAAATACTTATCCGTTGATTATTATCATTATTATTTATTTATTAATTATTAATTTTATTTCTCTAACAATTTTATTAATAATATAAACAAAAAAAATTTTTTTTTTTTTTTTTTTTTAAAAACGTTTTAAAATTAGTTTCGTTAATTCAACCAGAATTTCACTTTTTTTTTTTTTTTTTTTCAATTTTAAAAATTTGGCATCCACATCATCATCATCATCATCTTCATCATTATTATTATTATTATTTTTATAATCGATTTACTTAACGTCTTATTTAATACATGTATAAAATTTCATTATAATTTCATCAATCAAAAATTTTTATTTATTTATTTATTTACGTCACATAACGAATATTTTTTTTAAAATTCGATCGATCGATCGATTTAAATATCTATCGAATCGATTAATTTTTTTATCAACGTTTTAAATTATTTCCTTTTATTAGTATTAATAATTTCTTTTTTTTTCGTCGTGAATTTATTAATAAATAAATAAAATTTTTTAAAAAAATATAAATTATGTATTTTTTTTTATTTCGTTGAGGAGGGAGGAAAGGGAGACAAAGAGGGGAAAAAGGATATGGGGTGGGGTCGGGAAAAAGGAAATACATAATGCGAAAAGTAAATAAAAGTGGTGATGATGACAAATTTCTTTTTTCACGTGAATTTTTGATATTTTGAAAATCTTTTCTTCCTGTTTTCTTTTCGATGTAAAACGAAAATAAAATTTTAAAAAAATATAAAAAGCTTTTACTTTTAAATAATAAAAAAAAAAGCTCTGCATTATTACAAAAAAAAAAAGGCTTAAGTAGAATTAAATATGAAGAAAGAAAAAAAAAAGAAAGTAAAATAGATTTAGATGAATATTTTATCATTTAAAGTTTTTTTTTTTTTTCTCTTTAAAAAAATTAAATATATATATTTATTTTATTAATAATTAAAAAAAATTTCTACGAATTTCCCCCGGAAAAAAAATTATTTATATATAACTTCGTAATAATAATAATAATAATAATAATAATAATAATAATAATAATAATAATAATAATAATAATAATATGTAAGATTTTAATTTAGATTCTGAATGAGTAAAGTTTTTCTTATTTTCTTTTCTGGAAAACTGTTTATTTATTCCACAGTTTCAGTCTCGGTTTTTTTTTTTTTTTTTAAAATATGTAAATTAACGAAAGGCCTATTTAAATAAAATTATAAACAATTTAAATTTTATTTATTTATTTATTTATATATATATTGTAAAAAAAAAAATAAAAATAAAAACAAAAAAAAAAAATTGGAAAATTATTTTACAATGTTTTATTTAAATTATGAATTCCTTTCCTTTTTTAATTTTTTTTTTTTTTACGTACCGGAAATTGAATATGATTGATTCGAGAATAATAATAATAATAATGATAAATCTTCTGCTTTTATACCTTGTATCACGTTTATACTTTTCTTCGTTTTCAATATAAAAATTTTTTATTTAGTATATATTTATTGAAAAAATAATTTTTTATTTTTTTTCGATATATATATTTCCTCTCCCCTCGCTCTCCCCTTAAAAGAAAATAACATTTTTTTTTTTCCACGGAGAAAAATGTCTCTTTCGTATAAAATTAATGAAAATATATATATATATATATATATATATATATATTTTATTTCGTGACGTCACTCCAAAAAAAAAAAATGAATTTTTCAAAGTTATATCGAAAACGTCATATGTGGTCTATCTATCCAGCATTTTTTTTTTTTTGGCCTTTTACGCTGTTGGAGCCAAAGAACTTATTTCAAAAAAAAAAAAATTGGCAAAAAAAAAAACGGTCCACGATCCGTGAAATAAATATTTGGTTCGTCCCAAAAAAAAAAAAAAAAACGACGATAAAAATCATTTCGATGATTTTAACGAATGGTATTTTTTTTAAAAAAAAAAAAAAAAATTCTCATTCTTTCCCGTTTTTTAAATATTATTTGGTGTGGTTTTATTAATAATTCATAAATAAATTTGGCATCGAAATCATTATTCACATTATCAGCATTTATCATTTTTCAATATAAAAAAAAAAGAAATTTATGTGGGTTGAATTGTTTTGTACGATTTTAAATAAAAGGTTAACAATTTTTTTCTGATCGTGTGATTTACGTTCTTAAGTACTTTACGACAATGGGATTCAAAAAATATATAACTTTTCCCCTTCTTCCCCCTTACCCCCCCCAATCCACATTTTATTTTGTTGTTAACAATAAATAAATTTTAAAAAATTTGACATTTAAAGGACGATTTAAATACCATCATACTATTTATTTACTAATTATAAATTTTCCGAATGCAGGTATTTTATCAGAAAGTGGGGAAAGAAAATTTTTTTTTAGTTTTCCAGATAAAAAAAAAAATTTTCACATTTAAAGTTATCGATTTTATAATTTTACTTTAACTTCATATACTCTAAATATTATCCATTATTTAATTACGCTAAATTATTAATATTATCATTTGAATTGATATTGAATTTTAAATGGGTGGTGTTAACGTGGAATAAATTTAATGGTTAATAAAAATGCCAAAAAAATTTATTGTTAAATGTAATCTAGTGTAAATATTCTAATTTTGGATAAATTTGTTCGTGAATAGAAAAAATTAGTTTTCTTTCCCATCATATACAATAATTCATTATGTGATTAAATTATTATTATTTTTTATTAATTTAATTTAATTAAAAAAAAAATGAATGAATGGGTTAAAGAAAAAATTTTATTACATTTTAATATGTAAATCTTTTTTTTAAATAAAAAAAACGTCTTATTAATTTGCTTATACTTTTTCTTTACGTGAATGTATTGTTAATAGAAGATTTGTTGTTCTCCTATAAAGAATTAAATTTATTTTTAAATGTTATTAAAGGAAAAATTCTTTTTTGAATGGTTATGCTAAAAGGTAATACAAAAAAAAAAAAAAAATGGATCATTTATTATTCGATAGTTTTAACGAAAAAGCTTAAAAAATTATTCAGTATTCATTTCGATTAAATTTGATTGCATTCGATATAAAAAAAAAATTGAACAATTACATAATTAAAAGTAAATTATAAATTATTTTTATTAATTAACAGGAACTTTATGTTTAATTATTAAAATTTAAAATTAAAATAATAATTGAAAAAGTAAGAGAACTAATAAAACTGATTTTAATTTTTTTTTTGTTTAACAATCAGAACTGTACGATAATGTTCATTGTAAAATGTTTTCTTAATATTCTATGATTCATAAATATTATTTTAATAAACAGTTAATGGACATGTATATTAATTCACTTGTCATTTTAAAAACTATCCCCATGTTTCTAAATCAATGTCAATTATATTCTTTATAGGAAAGGGTAATAATGATGGGGGTAACAATTGTGCGTTTAATAATAATTCTGGGGGAAGTTCACTGCTCCACAATAATTTATTATTTTTAATATTTTTTTCTTCTAATTCTCGATTATATTTCACAAGCCAGTCTTCAATGGTAAGATTGTCAAAATTAAAACTATTACTTATAAATATTTCTTGCCTGATTTTATCCAAATCTTCTTGAGAATAGTGAGAAAATGTACATGATCCACCAAAGGAGCAGAAGCCTTCGTTATGAAATTTTCTACATGGTTTTTTGACGGTTTCTTCTTTTAAAATGGTTTCTGGATCTAACAAAAAAAGCGCGGGATTGTGATTATTCTTTTTAATAAAAACTTTGAATTTTCAATAGGTGTATATCAAAATCAAAATTTATTTTTACCTCTAAACATATTATAATGTTCTTTTTTTAAATTAATATGACTAACACTACTTTCGTGCTTTGCTCTAGTATTTTTGTCATCATTAAAATAACGATTACAAAAATCACAATAATATTTTTTTCTTCCCATTTTATATTTAAAAATTAAACGTTTTGATGTGTGTTTACAACAAAATAATAAAAATGGCGGCTTGATACAGTGCTGCCCCCATTTCGCACTAAAGAATTACATCACGCCTCAACGGTTATTACTCTAAATGTTTAGCTCATAGAAGAGAAGGCTGAGCTGGTTATTTAGTTGTAATTATTTTAAGTTTTTATTTTTATTTGATTTAGTTCGTCGTTTTTTTTTTTGCGTGGGAAAAAAGCTAAACTGCAATTTACACAAAAAAAGTTTTTTGATTTTTTAAAAAGTTTATTATTTATAATTGGTGTCTTTCTCGTGTCTTAAAAGTGTTCTGGTGGTCTAATTGTCATGTGGTTAAACTACTACTGTAATGTACAAATTTTAAATTTATTACACCGACAAACGACACAATAAAATTAAAAATTATTTTAAATTATTGTAAACTTATCGATGAAAAATGTCAAAATGATATTTGTATATTTCTATGATTCTTTTCTAAATCAAACATATCAAAAATGTGGTTTCATATTCAAGACACAAATTAACATTGCTACTGGTAAAAATTTATAAGTAAGGTAAGTGCCTGATTGTTTATTTCATATTTATTTATACCTACGTGAATGTGTATAAGAATAAATTAACATATTAGTATAGTTGTATAAGTGGTTTTTAAATATTTAAATTTTTTTTATCAGAGGTTATTAAATACCATTTGTTTGAAATTTTTATAAAAAATTTGAAGTTTTATTGCATTTTAATTTCACCATACTGAATTAAGAGACAGTTACTAACATGTATATAACTATTCGTTTTGTCGTTGCTAATTTTGTATAAAATATTTGCTAACTTTTCTCATTTCACATTGAGAAATGATATTTGAGATTGATTAAGATATTCTTCTTATCTGAAGGCCAAAGTTTTCATTTTTGATTTTGATAAAAAGGCAAATGACAAATTATTCTGTTTTTATAAATTTGAATGACTGCTCTCTTTTTGACTTCGGCAAATTTTTACTTTACCCTTATCGAAATTCTTAAATGCATAAAAATTCATTTCACATTTGATTTGATATATGATTTTATATAATTACTTTAATTAGTTTTCATCATAAAATAAAAGTATACATTTTTAATCTTAATTGAATGCACAAATCGAATGCAAATAATAAAAAATTAATTATTTTTATTATGCTTGTTTAACTTATCGATAAACTTTATTTTATTAATTTCACTCCATGCTATCAGGAAAAAAAAAAAAAAAAAAATTATTATTTTTATATAGTCGATAAATATTTAAAATAATTATTTTTCACATAAAATATATACTAAAAGTCATTTCGAAGACAATTTATATATATCTTGATTTTTTTTTTTTTTTAATAAGAACTGCTATTAGGAGCAACTTATAAAATTAATTGTAACTTTTTATTTTTTATTTTTTTTATTATTAAACAAAAAAAAATGTTATCTTGGAAAAATTTCATTCATTTTCAATTTGATTAATGGAATTATAAAAAAAAACTGTAATTAAAAAAAAAATTAGTTAAATTAATAGATTCATATATATATATATAAAATACTAAACTAATTTAGATTAGTTTTTGCATTTTTACATTTCACTTGTTTTTTTTTATATTTTCAAAATCGAACAAAAAAAAATAACGTTTAACTTATGAGGTAATAATGACAGGATTAACATGTAATCACGTAATAAAAAAAAAAAAAAAAAAGAAAGGCTTATAATTTCATTTTAATTTTTTTTTTTTTTTTTTAAAGAGCGCCATTAAATTTATTATTATTAAGTTACAAATAAAATCGTCGGTTTTAAAATAATCAATTTAAAAAAAAAAAAAATTTTAATCTTTATAAATATTTTTTTTTTTTTTATGTTCCAAATGAATTTTTTTAAAAATCTTATTCAAATAGTATAAAATTTTATTACACATGTTTTTAAATAATTTTTGGCGCGAAATTAATTTACTTAACATTTTAAAAAAAAATATTTTTAAGTAAACACACACCCACAAGGTAATTTTTCATGAGTTTTAAAAAGGGAAAACAAATTGGAAAACTCGGTATTGTTAAAAATATTGACGAGAATAATAATAATAATAATAATATTACCTTTTATTTTTAAAAAAAAAAAAAAATGACTTATTGAACTTTTAAATTTGCAATTTTTCATTCTTTTTTACCGTTATTTTTATTTTTGAAAACGGATCTCTGATATATTTAAATTTATCTCACCTTTTAAAAAAAGTTGTTTTCGTTGTTATTTTTTTTTTTTAAATAATAATTTTTCTTATTGTTTGGATTTATTTATAAATAATAAAAAAAAAAAAAAATCAGGAAAAACCATGTTAACAAATTTTTATGATATTGGATATATTTATATATTTGTTGCATAATTTATTATTATTATTATGAATGTTAAACTTTTATGTAGATTAATCTTAAATTTTTACAATTTTTAAATCAGTTAAGCAAAGGTAAATTTTTAAATATCGTATATATTTATTATTATTATTATTATTAATCATTTTATTACGTTTACTACATCATCACTGATATAATTTTATTTGAAAGATATAAATTGTGTTATCAATCGGCGTAAAATGGCTATAAATAATAATATTGAGGGCATTTTTTTTTTTTTTTTAAATATTTTGTAAGAGTTCAAGATGCAAACTTTTTTTTTTTTTTGTTCGAATTTATTATTATTATTATTAATGATTTTTGTTGTTTTTTTTTTTTTTAAGTAATCCAATTTTATTGAATCGAGTTTGTTGTTGTTGTTGTTGTTTCGGACCTTATAAAAAATTCCGTTATGTTATGTAATTTTAAAAAATGTTTTAAAATTATACTTATTCTTATTGATTTACGAATTCGTTACGTAAAAAAAATATAAAGAATAAATCGGAGTAATTTTCTTTTTTTTTTTTTTTTTTTTTTTGGAAAAAGGAAAACTTATTCGAAACGGGTTAAAATTTGAAATTCATTCATTCATTCATTCATTCATTCATTCATTCATTTTTTTAAATTTTGATTGAATGTAATTAATAATAATAAAAAAATGCCTTAAATGTTAAGCAGTAAGTGTGGGTTTTTTTTTTTTTCAAATCAAATCAAATTTTATCGATCACTATCGATTAGGTTTATATTCATGTAATATTGATTTATTATTATCGGGTATGAATTACAACTCATCATCAAATTTTTTATTTTCATTATTATTATTATTATTATTATTATTATAAATTTATTGATTGATTGTTTCGTTTATCGTTTTTACAACGTACAACGTAAGTACGAATGTTTGTACGTATATATATTTTTTTTACTCGTGAATTTATTTATATTTTATTCGTTTGAAATTTTTTGTCGTTGTTGTTGTTGTTTGTTTGTTTGTAAAGATGTCGGGACATTGGTACTACTACTACATAATAAATTCAGAGCAAACCGTTGCAAAGCAGGTAAAAAAAAGCAATAAATGTGTGTAAATATGACTATTATATTATTCTCATTTGGGGTTTGAAATATCCTTGAATTTTATAAAACAGATGTAGAGAGAGAAAGAGAGAGAGAGAGAGAGAGAGAGAGATAGAGATAGAGAGAGAATTTTTTTTGAGTTGACTAAAAATGTTTTACCTGAATCAAAAAAAAACTTTATTAAAAAAGATATTTACTTAAAAGTTTCGTGGCAGCAGAAGTATATCTTTCTAATTAGTTAAATTTCGTGTTAAATTCTTTAAATTTTTTTTTTTTTTTTTTTAACGAAACTCGTGTTGTCGCTTATAATTTTGGCGCCATGATAATAATAATAATATTAAAGGGATTCTTTATATTATAGAAAAAAAAAAAAAAGAAAATTCGATTCTTGTCTTTTTTTCATTCAATTATTATTGTACGTAAATAAAAAATATCACTTAATTATATTATCTATTTCAATTCGTAGGAAATCTATCATGGCGGTAAATGCATTTTTATGTATACATATGTATCTTATTTACATAGATCGTGGGCAGCGAATTAGAAATGCTGTCTTCCTGCTACTGACGTGGATGCATGCAATTTTATGGTTTGAAATTATGGTTCGAATGGATTTACCTTCAATCTGCCCACGTGTGCGTTTTATCTTTATGTGTAAACATTGCTCAGATCGAAAATACTAAACATTTATTTATTTATTTCGTGACGGGTATCAAACATTAACTTAAATTTTATTCATTGTACGCATCCGACCTAATTAAAAAAATTTTTTTTTTTTTTGTTTTCGGTTCGTAGGCTTTTAATGTAACAAGAGTTAGTAATTATGCAACAAATTACATCCGTTGAAAAATCCAGAAGGAGGGGAGGGGGGTCAGGTGAACGATAGGAAAGAAGGGGACACATTTATTATTATTATTATTATTTGTGAGACATCTCACAGAAATCAAAAAAAAAAAAAAAAAAATTATGAGTTTCGGACGACGGGTAAACTTGTTTGCCTACATTTTTTTTTTTTTTTTTACTCCAGTTGTTGCTTTGGGCTTAGTTAATAAATTAGGTCGAGTTTTTTTTTTTTTTTTTTTTTTTGTATTTATTGTAATTAGTCAAAAATTTATAGAGGTATTTAAAAAAAAAAAAAAGGTTTCATTAATCAGAAGAAGGAAAAGCCCGCATAAGAAAATTTTTTTTAGTTGAATTTATTTAAAAAAAAGTAAAAGAGAAGGTTAATGTTTTAATAATTTCGAGCAAAAAAAAAAAAAAATAAGCAGGTGTTTATAGTAAATGAGTAGTTCTCTCTCTCTCTCTCTCTTTCTCTTTCTATTTTTCAATCACAACAAAGATTTATATTATTTAAAAAAAAAAAAAATAATAATAATAATATTTTCATATTTGTTTCACCGAAACTGAAACCAAACAAAGACTTTTTTTGTTTTTATAACGAGTTAAAAGTTAATTTTTTTTAAAAATAATAATAATAATAATAATAATAATAATAATAATAATAATAATAATTACGGAAATTTATTTTAAACCTTGAAAAATTTTTAAAAGTTTTATGAGTTTTCATTAAAAAAAAAATAACTTTTCGTTGTTGTTT